ACGTGGGGGCTCAAAATATCATTTCCCCATAGTTTCGGTCTCATTGCTGAGAAACTGGCAGCAATGTGCTCCTGACTTGCAGGAAGCGATGCAGACACGTCACCCGTCGCGCTCCACAAATGTCACGGAGCCCAAAGACCGCCAGGTGCACTGAGGCTCAGGGTGTGGGCACCGGTGTCAGAGCATCGCAAATTCCAGTTTGGGAAAGAAGGTCCTAAGAAGGCTGTTTTGTTTCTGGGGGCTCAGTAGGGAGTTCCCTGTTTTATCCCGCAGCACATCTACCGGGGGTCACCCAGAACCCCAGCCCCTGGGGGGCGGGCCGCAGTCAGCACTCACCGGGAAGTGGCTGGCCAGGAACTTCCAGTCTTGCTGCCCGAACTGCCGCACCAGCGCCCTCAGCTGCTCGTCCTGCCAGCACCGAAGAGACAGAGGCTCAGCTCACACGCGTGGCCGCGGGGCAGAAGCAAAGCTGCCCCCAAAGCACAGCCTCATTCGCCGTGTCAGGTGAGGCTGCGAGGCGGCATCGGCAGGACAGGGCTGCCCCAACCGGGGGGGACTTGGGGTCTCGAGGCTGGCGGGCGCTGCCTGCAGGCTCCATAAGAAGAGGAGCGCCCCAGGTGCTGGGTGCAGGTGGGCGGGGGCAACTGTCCACTCCAGAAGCTAAGGGGCAGAGTGCAGGGGCCAGTGAGGGCGGGGCGCGTGGGGACTCGAGGAGCTGGCGGGGGCAGGCCGCAGGCCGGCTGGGCCGTTCCTGTCAAGCAAACCGCCGATGCGCTTGAGTAGGGAGGTCACGGGCAACGTGCCTGCTGTGAGGGTCGCTGTGACAGCTGCAGGAAATGGGGGGTGAGAGCAAAGCAGAGAAGAGGCCGCGACACCCCAGGCCAGAGAGGCCAGCTGGGGCGGGGAGACATGGATGAGAAGGCAAACAGTCTCCGGAAGACACACTACTGCTTCACACAACGTGGAAACGGGACGAGAGCGAGAGGCCAGCCGTGAACAAGCCCGCGCCGCTGAAACTCCAGAAATTGCGGAGTTCCCCGGCAAGGGGGAATGGGGCCGTCTGAGGGGAGCTGTGGGGGCAGGGGGACAGCAACAGGGCTCAAGGGACACGGGGGAGCAGTGAGAATGTTCTCTCAACGGTGGTGCTGGTAATTTCCAGGTGACACCCCGAACTGGCTGTAACTGCACATAAAGTTCAGTCAAACCGATTCCTTCAACTCAGCAGACCCAGGTGAAGAAAAAGACGGTCTGTGACAGCTTTCAAACAAGGAAATTCTGACTCGGGATACAGCATGGATGGACCGCGAGGACGGGGCCAGTCCACAGGGCACACGCCGCTCGCCTCCCCTCCGAGGGGCAGCAAAAGCAGTCAAGACCAGGAGAGGAGGGAGCGGTCAGGCCAGGGACGGCACGGGAGACGAGTGGGTGCAGATCCCACCCGGCAAGACTGAAAAGGCCAAAGCCGAGGCGCAGTGAGACACTCCACTACCGGACAGTGCAGACTGGTCGCCAGGGCACTTTCTTTTTTAAAAAGAGATTTATTACGCACACAGAACTGGGGTACAGGCCAGAGGTGGGGGGTGAGAGGATTCGCCAGAGACAGAGTCGGGAGCGGAACAGGCAGATGGACTGAAATCCATTGCTGAGGGGAGCCGTGGGTGAGACAGGAGGGGTCTGCGGCACCATGCGGGTCAGCTCCCTGGCGGGGGTGGACTCGTGCTGCAGCGGCTACAGACAGCTTCACAGTGCTGCGCTTCAATGCGGTGCTCCACCAGGGAGGCCCCCAAGACACATTTAATGGGCTTTGTAACGCACACAAGAACTTTCTATGTACAGCAAAAGTGTATGTGTGCTCCTGGTAGAGAAAACAGGACATCACCGAATCCGGGCCCCCAGTCAGTCCAGGATGCCATCCCCTCCCCTGCCACTGACCATCACCAGCAACGCCTTGGCCATGGCGACAGGCATGGCCACTTTGCTGTCTCCAGCCTGTCTTTGCTGTCCTGCAGACGTGTGGACCTGCCCCACCAGCCAACCCCACACACACCCACACTGCCCTGGTCTTTCCACAGCCGCCCTCTCTTGCCTGCCCAGCACAGGTCTCTGCCCCAAGCTGCCCCCCAAACCTCGCATTTCTACATACGCAGGTCAGCTCCCCGAAGTCCACCATGTTCCCACCACTCTCCTGCTTTAAAATCCTTCACCTTCAGGTGCGCCAGTCTACACACCTGAATCAGACATTTGGGGGCCTCCAGGATCTGGCCCCCAAGTGTTCTCGCCCATGTCATTCTGCTCCCAGGCTGACCTCCCCCCCACTCTCATCCCCCACCAAACCCAAGTCCCTCTGCCTGCCCTACCTACCCAGTTCCTATTCCAATTGACCACTGTTTGGCCCCTTTTACACATTTTGCAATCCTGCTGGATCTCCAAATCCTTTCCCTGAAACTTCCCAAACCTTTTCAGACAGCAGTCCCCTCTCCCAGAGGTATTCAACAGCCAGCAAGACTCTGGGAGGCCAGGGGCCTTTGCGCCAGGAGCCCGCACACACAGGGCCTGCCTGAGCACCCCAGGCAGGCCCCGCTCCTCCATGGTCTGTGTTGTCTTATCTCCCCACCCCAGGCGGGAGCTGCTGTGGGGGAGGGCACCCATTTGTGCCCTAAGCCCACAGAGCCTGGTCCACACTGAGATGACCAAAAACGAGTATCTCTCCCCCAAAGAAAGGTATGTTATGATTTAAGCATAAAAAAAAAACTTAAAACGAAATACATCCAGGAGAAGCAGTAGAGTTAAAAAACCAGTAGAAGCCTAAAATGTTCTATCAATTTAGAAAAAGATCTGACAATTTCTATAAAACCACACTCCACGACTGTACCAAAGTGTCCCCCCTAGAGAAATGAAGACATCATCCCCAGAAGACTCGTGCACAAATCCTAAGAGCTGAAATACTACTCCTAAGTAGTATTCCACATGCCATGCAGTGGAATACTACTCAGCAACAACAAAGCAAATTACTGTATCGCACAACATTACGCTGGGCAAAGAAGCCAGATAGAAAAGAACACAGCTGTGCAGGTTCACGTTAAAACACGCAAAAACAGGCAAAAATCAAACAGAGCCAGGACCAGCGAGTGCCTGGCACCAGAAAGACAGTTGGACCTCAGGGGATAATCAGAGTGGTGCTTATCTGAGCACGCACATTTGAAGAGCTCGCTTGAAAGGGTGCACACTTGGTCTTTCCATGAGCCCTTTCCCTTGGCAAAACAGCAACAGCAGCTCTCCTGTCCGCCTGTGACTATGCAGGTGCCTGTTTCTCTTCTCAGTGAACCTGTGCTAAAACTAAGCATGAAGCAATGGGCACATGAGTGCACATGAATTATGCTTCCATAAACTCAATTAAAGGATATAAAAGTAAATACAGTCAGAGCTTCATGATACAAGAATACTAATTTAAAAATCAATTAACAGGGGCCCTCCCTGGTGGCGCAATGAGTTGAAGCGCAGCACTCCGAAGCTCTCCACAGCCCCTGCAGCACGAGTTCCATCCCAGCCAAGGAGCTGACCCACATGGCGCAGCAGACCTCTCCTGCCTCCCGCTGCTCCCCTCGGCAGTGTGTTTCTGTCCATCTGCCTGTTCCATCTGCTGCCCACTGACTCTGGTGAATCCTCTCAACTCCCCCACACCTCTGGCCTGTACCCCAGTTCTGTATGCACAAATAAATAAATCTTTAAAAAGTAAAAATCATAAAGAGAAGGCTACAAATTTGGCTGAACCTCCTCATTATCAAAGGGTAAGAAGCACAACCACTGTCCACAATGTAGAACACGTCAGCTTCTGTGACACCACAGCCAAGTGCGGGCACTGAGGCCTCAGGGACATGTTCCCTCATACTGGAGCCCAGGAATGCTGAGAAAAGACATCAGCATGAGCCAGAAGACACGTCCGGCTCCTTTGTCCCAGCAGCCAGGACACTCCCTGAACACAGCCCAGCGTGCGCTCAGGCCAGGCCAGCCCACCAAAGGCCAACACGCCTGGCACTGCCTGCCCCTCACGGTCACTCACCTCCTCGTGGGTCCACTTGACCTTGCACTTGATGTCTCTCTGCTCTGGCACATCGGAGTCTGTGTCCTGGCAGTGCAGTTCATCCAACTCCTCACTGCAGAGAAAGCAAAGTCAAGCTCAAGCACACGAGTCTCCCGTGCTCTACATGAAGGATGAACAGTGGCCGGTCACCACGAGGGAAAGGCTTGAGGGGGGCAGCCTTTTTCCTCTTTCAGCTTTTGAAAACATACTTTCACCCTCCTTTTTTCATTCATTTTTAGATGGAGTGATGAACTATTTTTACTTCCTTATTTTTATTAGATTTTAAACAATCTAATGTTTTCAAAGCTATGAAAAAAGAAGTTACAGGACCTCCCTGGTGACGCAGGAGTTAAAGTCTCAGTGTTACTGGCAGCCACTGCGGCATCAGTTCGATCCCCAGCCAGGGAGCTGACCTACATGGCACAGACCTCTCCTGTCTCACCCATAGCTCCCCTCAGCAGTGGATTTCAGGAGATCTACCTGTTCTGCTCCCCACTCTGGTGAATCCTCTTACTCCCCATCCCTCTGGCCTACATCCTAGATCTTATATAAATAAATCATTTTAAAAAAGACAGCATTTAATATTTTCTTTTCAATAAATTTTTTTAAGCTTGCATTAAGGGTTAAAGCTGATGACATGTAGTCATCATGAACCAGGATTTTATTATTGGGGAAAACATTTTAAATACGTTATCTCAGTAACTATATCCATTTTTGCATATGTCCTCTCAATCTATGCCTACTCAGACTTTAGAGAGAAAAACCCAAATATGAGCAACTTTGACTTCTGGGTGTTTTTATTTTCCAATAGGCAATTTCTCAAATTGCTCCAAAATCCTCGCCTTTCTCAGGTGCAGGGCTTATGAAAATGGAGATGGTAGTTCCTCCCCACCCCCAGGTTAGGCACTCAGGAAGGTGAGTCACCTCCAGGCTCCACATGGTGAGGCCATATCAGGTGACCTCTTATCAGGTCATTCCTAAGTGAGGCATTGGTAAAAGGGAAGGTCCACAAGACAAGCACGGGCCTGTGACCAGACTGCCTCGTCCCTCCCCTTCTCCAGAACCCAGCATCATCCCCAAGCACCGCACCTAGGAAATCCCCAGGCTCTGAAAAGTCTCAAGCTGCAGCTGCCTATGTCTTTGGCAGCAGGGGCAGAGGCCGGCCGCACCTCAGCCCCCACCATATTGGTGGGGCCACGATCTGGTGGGTTGATTTTAAAATGTGTTTGCTCAGGGAATGAGGGATACTGAATGAGTGAATGAGAACAGCAAAGCTGCAGCCTATTAGCTGATAAGACATGCTAATTAAAGTAAAGGCTTCCAAAGCAGGCCCCGAAGGGATCCATCTAAAGCCAGCCAGGAGGATCTGGAGCCAGCCTTGTCCTGCCCAATTCCTGGGGCCCCCACCTCAGTAACCAGGGCAAAAATTCCACAAGATACTAACAGAAGGAAGCTGCTTTTAAAATCACTGCCGCCCCACCCCACCCCCAACACCTTTCTGAAAGAAAGCTTCGATTTCCCAGCATCCAGCTTCTCACAGCTCAGGGCAAGATGAAAAGGTGTCTGTGTGAATGCTTTCTGGTGCTCCAACCCTCTAATTATGGGGGCCAAACTGAGATAATACAGAAGAATCTGTGAAAACAGACTCCTACCACCATCCAGTCACAGGCATTCTCATTATCCCCCTTTACAGGTGCAGAGGAAACTGAAGCCCACGGGGTGAGCCGCTTGCCAGGTCCGCGGAGCCAAACTCCAGCCTGCACCCTGAGGGGCTCACCTCATAATCCCAGTAGAAAAGCTGTACTGAAGTCAGCGGTGGGAACCACAGGCAGGTCCCACACACCTTTCCTTTGCACTGCCCTGCTGGGCCCGGCTCCAGGCCCAGGTGAGTCAGAAGCTGAGCAGGAAGTGGGACACTGGTGTGGAGGAATTACAGCCCTTGGCCACAGAAGGCGCTGGGCTTGGGGACCTGGGGTACAGACCCAACGCTCACAGAGGGGGGCTCCCTCCAATGACCCCCAAGAGTGAAGAGGCAGAGGATCTGGGGTGTCAGTGGGGCTCTCTGGAGTAACAACACTTCCTGAACCAAAAACCCGCAAACTCCTGGGAACTGCAGGTGTGCTGGGATGTGGGGGCCTGTGGAAGACAACCTCTGCCAGGCACCTGACTTCTGCCCAGGCACCAGATGCCTACCCTCTAAGAGGAGGCAAACCACCATCTGCAGAAGGGTTTAAGGTTACCTACACTACGACTACCCAAGAAGGGAACCCTGGCCCTCTGACAGGCTGGAAACTCCGGCGCTCAGGTCACAGGTGCACTGGTGTGAAGAAAGGGATCTGGGGCCACACACCTGGTTCGAGGCTCCACTCTGCCACTAATTCTCTAGGGGAGTAAAATGGAGACCGCAGTTCCTGCCCTGGCCCCAGGGACTGCTAGCGCAAAACACGTCGGTCTCTTCCCTCCCTCACCTTCAACCCCAGCTGCCCCGAAACCCCTCCAGTGGAACAGGAAGACAGGTCTCTTGAAACTAACTCCACCCAGAACCCAAGCGATAAGAGACAAAAAGGCCCCCCACCCAGCACCCTGCTCAGGTCCGGGAAGAGGTCTGGGGTGCTCTGTGCTCCCGGAAAGTAGAGGAGACAAGCCCACCGGCAAGCCGAGCCCAAAAAGGCCTGAACAAGTGACCTGCGGAGGAGAATCGCCCTTCCCCTCCCGGGATCGCTCCCCTCCGAGTAAGGCCCTCGCAGCTGACACCACCAACCCCCACCCCGCCCCCGCCCCGCAATTAGGCGGGAGACAAAAGTGACATCATGCAGGCCTTGGCCCGGGTCCCACAGACCCGCCCGCCCGGATCTGAAGCCCAGCGGGCCCGGGGAGCAGATGCCCCCGGCTCGGCGCGCGCCCCGGGGCTCCGGCGGGGGGCCCAGGACACAGCATCTCCCGCGGACCCCCTGCTCCGGCCCCGAGGAGAGGGGCCACGGGTGGGGCTGTAGGCGCGGGAATCGGCCGCCCAGAGGGAGAGAGGGGGAGGAAGGGGTTCGGCCTCCCGGCTCCGCTT